ACATGACCATGTGTGTGAGTGTCAGCCCTTCGGCCTAAGGGGAGAATAAGGAGCTGTGTTATATGCCCGTGTTTCAAATCGGCCAGCTAATGTTAGGCTGCTTTTTTGGACAGCCAATGGTGATGAATAATGTGGCTTGTACACTTCAGCATTTCTGTCTGCCTCCCAAGCACGTATGCTATTTGGGTGATTTAAAAATCTGTTCGCACTTGTGCTATGGATTTTGGGAAATGTTACTATGTTGAAAGACAAAAGTGTTTTAGAATTCCACAGAGTCCTTATATAGCTGTGGCTGCAAGGGCGGGTAGGAGCTGGTCTCAGCACGGCCACCCCTCTCAGGAAACCGGGAGAGGAATAAATGGAACTAACATCTGTTCGGGGGTCTGTCCTATTCAGGCCAGGCAGCTGATCCTCATTTCCTCCTTTCCTCCTCACAGTTCCTCATTTCCGGGATTAAAAACCCGCAGGTCAGAGAGGTTAATACATTTGTCAAGATGCACAGGGTTTATAATGAGGGAGCACCGGTTCAAACTTAGGTCTGGCTCCTCTCGAGGCACGTATGTGATGCATACATCTCCTTTCTAGCATTTTCCAAACTCTGTATTCTTTCCTAAGTGAAAGTGTCCCAAATAAGTCTTGAAATCGGTCTTTGTTACCAGAAATGCTTGGCAGTGCCTTGGTCATCTATTCTTGGCCATTCTTGGTAGAAATCAGAGCTCTCTTCTCCCTAATGGAAGCCCCATGTGTTTGCATGTCTTACGCCCATTGGACTTTTAGCCGGAACTCCCTTTTCACCTGGGCTTCACCCATCAGCTTCCCAGGCTGGGTGGCGATGGTGACAGAGGACCCAGCTCACCCCAGAGGCCCAAGCAGGGCCTTTTTGATTTGACGTAAATGCATCGGGCTTTACACACCTGTGGGGTTTGGCTACCAGGTGGTCTGTTGAAATGAAAGCAGGTTCCGGACTGGACTCTGTCCCACATCAGACACTTGGGTTAGGCAGGAGGCACAAGAGCGGCCACACAGCCTATTCCTGGAAGCTTGGGCATGTCCCAGCTCTGTCCTGGGGCATGGGGACAAGCACCGGCAGGAGAAGGTTACCCTGGACAGGTACTGCATCGTTCAGCAGAGGGATTGGCCCCCACCAGTTGGATCAGGGGCCAGGGGATGGAGAACCTTCTGGGGTGGCTGCGCATGCTCCATTCCTTCATCTGGGTGGTGGCGATGGCAGCATTTGCAAAGGTAAAATTTCACAGAGCTGTCTGTGCCCTTAGGATTTGTTCACTTTACCGTGTGCTACTTATGTCTCAGTAAAAAATAAAGGGGGGAATGAATGATTGTCCATAAGTTGTTCACAGTCAATGAGCAGGGGAGCTGCTATGTTGTGTTCAAACCCCTGGAGTTAGAGGTTTCCCATGGAAGGGCCGAGGGGAGGGTACAATCACTCGAAGGTTTTCATTCGAGCCCCCCTCATCCTCTCAAACAACCCCAGCTGGTGGCCCGGCCCCTAGACATGATCCGTCTCCCCGAAGCGCTTTCCTTCACCCTTTTGCTGGGTCGGTGGGTGATGTCAGCTACAGGGAGCAGAAGACACGAGGCTTCTGTCTGACTTCCTGGTCGAGGTCCTCTGCTTCGGGACTCCCATCGAGCCTCACCCATCTGGTCACCCCCCAGGCCAGCCCTCAGGGTTCTCTAGGTTGGAAGCAGTGGCCACCTCTTCCCAGTAACCACCATGCCCCCAGGGCCACCGTGGCCTTCATTCTCTATGCTGCCCTGCTTTAAGCAAATTCTTTCCCCTCCGAATTTGACTTCTTTTGTGCTTTAAGCTGCTCTTGGTCATTTTAATAGAATTTCTGATGAGGCTAGGCAGGCAGGTTCCGGGGGATGGATGAAACAGATCTATTTTCCTGGGCAAAAATTCCAGATGCACCTGATGGGTGTGGGGGTGGGGCTCTGCATTCCCACCCTTTCTTTTCCCCAAGGGGGAGAGAGAAGTAGGTGTGGCCACTGACAGTGGTTTTTGCAGAAGTCTTAACATTAATTACCAGTTGAAAGGAGTCGGGCCTGTGGCCTGCTCACAGCCCTGGCCTTGGCAGCTGGCACCTGCGAAGGGAAGTTTGGTGGAGTTAAAAGATAAGGAGATGACCCCATTCATCGGTTGTCCTGACCACAGGGTAATGGTGCTTCTGATTTTTCAGTTTCAGAGTTCCCGTGACTGCATTTCATTGCCCAAGGGTTCTTTTCTTTTTCTTCTTCCCATGTCGTGTACTACCTCATCCCATACGTACTGTTAGAATCTCAGCCTTGAGAAACAATAACAGAAGCTTTTTGGTGGCATCCCTAAGTCACTATGGAATCAGGTGTCATAGCAATGGCTGCCCCCTCCCCCTCACATTTCACCATTTTTTAAATCTTAAGCAGCAACAGCCAATGCTGTTGTTAAATGAACCATTAATATATCTTCACAGCCTCTATTGGCAGTTGTTAACTAGACTGCATTTGCTTCTAACTTCAGGTACAATTAGTCATTCCCCAAAGTAAGGCTAAGTTTGTGAAGAGGCTGGTCCAGTGTTGGATCCAATGCATAATGCATACAGAGATTTGGGGGGTTTCTAAGGAAGCAACATGGGAATTGAGTTCTATAACTACAGGCACCTTAATTTTGTTTTCTGAGATTTTATTTCCCTTCATTGTCTTGGTTTTAATTTATGGCTTTAGTATATTTATTTATTTGTTTGTTTGTTTGTTTTTTAAGAATGAAGTTTTAGTGAAAGGCAGAGGAGATTTAAGTACTTAATAATTAACCAAAAGTTTGATACAATGATGCAGGCTCCAACCAGCGGTGTCTGCAGTGTTGTGGATGTGATGAACAAATTCACACGGACTGCAGAAGTCCTGTGGAGAAAAAGGGACAGCACGGCCACTCTCTGAGTGAGAGAGCACCCCGAATCTTGCTTGGACAGGCTTTTATTGCTTTTCTGGGAGCATTACCTCAAGGAAGATCTTTATTCACCGTTGTCAGGCAGTAATGATCAAACAATAGATAACATTCAAAGGACTATGAGGGCTTATTCTGAGTCAGGGTCAGATGGCTAAAGGGCCATAAAACTTTGGGAAACAAACTCATTTCATACTTGGACACTTATCAGAAAATTGAGGACATTCTTAGCAAAGCAGTTTTCACAGGATTTTATGCATTCTTTCTTAGACCTGATCACCCCACGCAACCACCCATTCTAGCACAGGGCTGCACCCCCAGGAAGCATTGTTTCAGCCTTAAGTTAGGCAGAGGAAGTAAGGCAACCAAGAGATTAGGAGACTTCTTGCAGACAGAATGAGGACTCAGGCTATGTCAAAGCCAAGGGGTGAGGGTCCATCACCTCCTTTTTCTATAGCCCCCGAAGTCCTTCTCTGAGGGCCCCATTGTGACTGTGCCTGTCTTAGGTTGTCTCTTCCTTGAGGAATCTTACCTGTCATTGGCTAACTGGTGATCTGCCCAGGGCCAAGCAGGGTGAAGTAGAAGAGGGCAGAGGTGGCACCCCTACCAGGAAGATAAGCTTTGTCTGGTAAGACAAAGCTTAAGATAAGATTCAGTAAAACAAATCTCCTATCCCCCTCCTCCCAAAACAAAGATTTTTAAAAGTTGCTGTTAAGTACACATGACATAAAATTCACCTTTAAACCATTTTAAGTATGTAATTCAGTGACATTTAGTATATCCATAATGTTTTGCAACTCTCATTCTTACCTAGACCCAGAACTAATCACCCTAAAAGGAAAACCCACAACCATTAACTAGTCATATCCCACTCCCCAGCTTCCCCAGTCCCTGGCAACCACTAGTTGGCCTCCTGCCTCTATGGATTTGACCACTCTGGGTAGTTTATATAAACAGAAGCAGATGATAGGTGGTCTTTTGTGTTTGACTCCTTTCACTTACTGTAACATTTTCAAGGTTCATGTTATAGCATGTACCAGTACTTCATTATTTTTAGTTCCTGAATAACATTGCATTGCATGGTATACTCTCTGTGCATTCTCTTAGTCCCTTTGGACCGCTGTAACAAAATCCCACAGGCTAGGTGACTTATAAGCAGCAGAAATATATTTCTCATAGCTCTGGAGGCTGGAAGTTCAAGATAAGGGTGCCAGCATGGTCAGAGGGCCGCCTTCAGGTAGCAGACTTACTGGTGTATCCTCTCATGGTGGAAGGGTTAGGGAGTTCTGCATGGTTTCTTTTATAAGGGCATTAATCCCATTCATGAGGGCATTGCCCTCAGTACCTGAGCACCTCCCAAAAGCTCCACCTCCTAACACCATCACTTAGGGCATATGAATTGGGGGTGGGGGGTACGCACATTTAGACCATAGCATATACCATATGTAGTCTAGCCATTCATTAGTTGAGGTATGTTTGGGTCATTTCTCCCTTTGGCTATTGTGAATAGCATTGGCATGAATATTCCTGCACAAATTTTTGTTTGTTTTCTATTCTTTTGGGTCTCTTCCTACTAGTGAAATCATTGGATCATATGATGTCTATATTTAATTTAAAAAAAAAAACAACCAAACTGTTTTCAACTATGGTTGCTCATTTTACATCCTCCACAGTAATGCCTGAGGGTTCCAATTTCTTTTAAAACTTGTTATTTTCTGTTGCTTTTTAAAAACATTTTTGTTATAACTATCATAGTGGGTATGAAGTGGTATCTCATTGTGGTTTGGGTGGTTTTTAATACTACTGATTTTGTATGTTTCTGGACTCAAACTTTTTTACTACACACTGTTCTTATGCAAAGCTACATAAAAAATCACATACACATAATTTCCAGGAAGAGGAAGGTGTGAAAGCACCTTTGCCTTCACAGTCCTTGGTGTCACTAAGCCTCGTGGCTCTGTAATCTGTCCTGTGGGTAAGCTACTTGCAGACAGTCAGTGGCCAATTATAAATGATGCCTCATGCCTCTGACCTTCTCTCTCATTTTTTTCTTTGATTTTAGGGATTTCCTCTGGATCATCCAAAATGCTTTTAACACATATTGGATAAGAGCTGAGCCACCTGCCTGTTGGGAATTTCCATACTCTCTGCTCCACTGTCTTCTGATGGCATTTTGACTGCGTCAAGGCCACGCGACCCACCTGCTCATCATGAGTGATGAGAAGAACCTCGGAGTGTCTCAGAAATTGGTCTCCCCGTCAAGGAGCCCAAGTACCTGCTCCTCCAAGCAGGGAAGTCGGCAGGTAAAGTTTTAACTAATGCCACTTTTAATATGCAAATTTAAGTCAGGAAGTTTGCAGATTAAAGTGTGTATATTTACTTGGGAACGCCTACTTCTCAGTTTAAGATCATTTGCTTCCAGTCATATCCTAATTACATGAGACAAGTACATTTTAGATGATTTTAATAATGCAGCTTCAGTGCCTACCAGATGGAAAGAACTGTATTTGGCTCTTTGCATTATTTTACTCAATCCTTGCAAGTGTCCTCCAACACAGATATTAATATCCCCATTTCCTCCATGAGGAAGCTGAGTCAGACCCCTGAGTTACTTTCTTAAGGACAAATAGCTAGTAAGCGGCAAAGCAAGCAACCCAACCTCAGTCTGTTGACTCCAGAGCCCACACTGTCATTTATACCCTACAGACCAAACCAAAAAAACAATTGCTTCTGCAGTAATTATGATACCCCCATTCTCCCCTGCCTTCCCTTTACCAAACCTTTTATGACACCTTCCAACCACAGGCTGCCCTGACAGCGACCTGGAGTCCCACCTGCTCTCTTCCTCAACATATGAAGAAGCGGTCAAAAGTAGGAAGAGTAAAAAAGCGAGTCAAAGGACTAAATAATTAACTCCTAAATAACAGTTAGCTAATTATGTGAGGATTTTGTTTTGTTTTGTTTTGGTTTTGGTTTCCTTTCTAATAAATCCTTATGGGCAGAATTTGCTGGTGTGAGATCAGTGGCAGAAAATGCACATTAATCATTACAACTCTCCCACCTTCAGTTAGGGAGAGAGAGAGAGTGGCAGTCCCAAAGCCCTGGGTTTACCACCAAGGCAGCCTCTGAGCCTCTTCGCTGTCTGCTGGCTCTGTTGGCTTTGCTGATGCTCCATGGGAAGCACGGGCCTAAGAATTGGCCTAGAGGTCTTGGCTGCAGATTTGGAAGCAACAATTTGGCAACCTCCCACCGCACGCATGTCCACATATCTAGAACACATGATCACGGGTCTCTCCATTCCAACGCTGCTGGGGACGGGGAGCCTGCCACCTCACAATACTGCCCCATGTCATTAGAATCCATGATTCTAGCCAAATTAGATTTTTCTATAGGCCTGACATTTGAGGAGTCCTCCAAGATCTCTCCTGAGGGGGTTAAGAAGAATAATTTTTTTTCAGCACAGTCATTACTTTCTGCTGGGATTTAAACCATGACTAAAAATAGTCCTTGGCTGACGCATCATGGCTCCCTGGGACTTCCATTTTCACGAGGGTAGCTATGCCTGCTCCCTTTGTCAGCTTTCCAGCGGGTATTTCTCTCCCTAAGCCAAATTTCTGGTTGGGGTTAGAGCCAAATGAAGATTTTCCCCCTACACTTTGTACCTAGTGGCATCTATTGTTTACCCTCCTTGGATGAAGGGGCAGAACATGATTTATTTAAGCCAGAGCTTGTAACACCATGGGAATTGGAGCAGTCCAGTGAAACCCTAGGACTGAACACCACAGAAACGTTTTTGGCGGGGTGGTGTGTTATTTGAAATTGATTTGGTTTTCGTAGAGCTTTTTCTGAGGTTATATCCTAAAGGATAAAAGAATTGTGTTTGATGCCTCAACTTTTTCTGACTTAGAATGGTTGGTCTCTCACCTGTTCATCAGATGGCCGTCTTTTCTATTTAGAATCTCCCACTTTAATGTGCTCGTGGTGTTTCTTTATAAACAGAAAGATGCATTTTCCCTCTGTGGCATGGGTGTAAATGTTTTCCTCTCTTTCTCCCACCCCCACCCCCCGGGCCAGCACCTGTCTATTGGTCGTAGCTGCTAGGAGCACTGTGTTGAAAAGGATTCTGCAGTTGGGTCTGGGCGCAGTGGGAAAGTACCATGTTTTTAGCTGTGGCTCATGGGCACAGGCAGGGTGAGTGGCAGCACAGGTACCACATTTGTCACCCCTTCGTGACATTAGAGGATTGGCATCAGGAGATCTCTGCCACAGTCTCTGTATTCTGCTATTGGAGACACGTCAGGCGAGTGACATCAGCCTCAGTTTTCCATCCATAAGATGGCCTTGTTTCCAGACCCCCCGACCCCCTGCAAAGAAATAGTTTGCTTTGAAGTAGACCATCCTGTACATCCAGGGCCTTTACCGGACAGGAGCCTGTGCTCCTTGCAGGAAATCCCCGACGAGAGGCGGACAACTTACACAGAGAATAGGTTGTTGGTCCCTGCTGACTGTCTTAATCGTACCCTGCTATTTGTAGTGTTCTGGGTTGATCTTTGCTTCAGCATTCTTCCCCATCCCAGACTCTGGCCCAACTGTCCCTTTAGCTAGACTGATCCACATGAAATTGTTCTGCCCTCTTGAGTTTTGTGATTTTCTTGAGCAGAGTCTTCATGTATTGCTTTAACCCTTTAAAGATGACTTTTTTATAAAAATAGTATCTGCTCACTGTAGGCCATTTCCCAGGTACATGTCTTCTATGTGAACTGCATACCTTAGTTAATTTACTTTTAAATGGCTGCTGACAGGTCAAGTTAAAGGAAGCCCGAGAATGACTGTTGGTTGTGGAGGTCATCTGTGACATCGTCGAGTGGTTTCCTTTGAGTGGGGGGCATAAAGGGCTGGTTAGGGGCTATTCACGAGGGACTAGGAACAGAGGGAGAGGTTCCCCAAGTCCTACCAGACCCCCAGGCAGGGTCTGTGAGGAGCCTTCGTGGATGTTCTCTTTGGGAACCTTGAACTTGGCTAATGCCATGCTTAACACTGCCTTCTCCCTCTACGTGAAAAATTCTTAGATTTATTCATTGATGGAAAGGGTATATGGTTCTTTGAGTCCCAGGTCTTATTTATATATCTTTTTGGTGTTCACAGCACGTGGCAGATGCAAATTAGTGGACTGAGTGTACTCAGTGCCAGCAGCAAGCACCACCACCCCGCCACGCCCCGTCAGGGCAGGTTAGAACGGAGGGCCGGGTGTGCATGTGGCATGGGGACTCAGAGATTCCTCAGCTCGCTCACTCGTGACAATTGCGAGGACCTTAAATAATGAACAAAGGCCTCACTATCGAGTTTCTTCTGCCATGCGATGATGTAATCCCAAATGCCTTGTATTCCTGTGGCCTCTGAATGCGCTTCTCCACTGGAAACTATGGAACAGGAGCACAGACTGTCTCTGTTGACACTGACCTGTGCTCACACTGGCTCTGCAGCCTGCTGGCTGACTTGGCCAGGTTATATAAAACCTCCGAGTCTCCATGTTTCAGCTGTGAAATTTGGATAATTGCGCTTCCCTTTGAGAACTAAATGAAATAATAAATACAAAGTACCTGGACTAGCAGATGGTAGATGTTTGGTAAGTGTGGATTAAATTAATGAATGAAGAAGTCTTTGGTTGCTAGGTAGAAAATTACCGCTCACAAAGCTCTGTAGACCCGTGAAACATGCTGAGAGGTATCTGAGTGGGAGAGGCAACGGCTCTTTCAAAACATGTACAATACGAATAATTGCACTTTCCCGTTGTGTTTTCCCCACCGCCCTGTTCCGTTTCTCTCCTAGAACTCTCAAAGTAACACATTTCAGAAGCCAGACTGAGCTGACGATGAATGAGTAGGTTGTATCTTTATTGAAAGAGTATTATGTGCCCTAAACTTCTATTTCTTCAACCACTGTCTATCGAGAAGCTATTATTAAAGACTGGGCAGGGAGATTTGTAGCTACGAAGGTCAGGACAGCTGAGCAGACTGCTACAAACATGAGGTCGACTCCAATTGGGAAAACTTTGAATTGGAAAGAGGGCACGACCTCCATCTGTTTTTCTTGTTTTCTCTATGTTGCTAGCATTTGCTATATAGGTCAGAAATCAGAAAGAGAATCCTGCTAAAATAATTGGTAATGCCTTGGCTCATGATCACAAGAGATTTGACATGGAAAGATATATTGCCAGATAGGTCTCATACAGTCATGCAGTTTGTTCTTGTCACCCTTTTGTCCCTGGGCTAATCTAAGGTGGCCTTTGAGCCTCCCAGGGTCATCAGTGAGAGTTTATTTCTGCTGGCTATTAGGTGCCGCAGCACTGCAGGCAGCCCAGGCTGGCTGGGCTGGGTGCCAGAACCCATAAAACACAGGAATTGAATGAGAGAGAACTTGCCAAGAAGAAAAATGTGAATTCAAGCTATCATGCTCAGGTGTTTATAAGTTTAGTTATCTGGGTATTGAAAATACTTAGTCCTGTTTATTTCTTTGAATTTATTGAGTCTTCAGAGACATGCAGATTTACCAGCTGCCTTTTGTAAGTATGGGCTTCATAAACACCACGAGAAAGACCAGTCAAGGAGGAAGGACTTGGGAATGTCATAGTTTATCACGTTGTTCTTTGATAGGCACAGAAGATGAAAGGCAATGACTATGAACTTGCTGGGGAGCCAGCAAGGGCTTGAGTTTAAATCTCGGGTTGTTTATAAGCTGTTTGACCTTGGGCAAGTTACTTAAGCCCTTTGTGCCTTGGTTTCTTATATGGTTGTGCAAATTGCTTAGCTAGAAGACAGCCTGCGCGTGGAGAGTGCTATATAAAGTGATGGACACATGAACCATTCACCTTCCCTAAGTAGAGTTCCAGGAGCCCTCAAGCAGTTCCTTAGGGTGATTGTCCCCTGCCTCGTCCTGTCAGCTGCACGGGGACGTGCCACGGTGCAGAGCCAGTGACTTGGCTTCTGTCTGGATGCCTCTGGGAGGAAAAGTCAGCAAGGGACCCTAGACATGAACACGTTTCTGGTGGCATCTTTACAGCTCATAATATTCTTTCCTATGATACTTTGGAGTCTCAGAACAATCCAGGGAGGTCTGTACTATTTTCTGCAAAGAAAATATGGTCCAGAGATACACTGCCTTGTGCAGAGTTACCCAGCTAACAAGTGATAGGGAATCAGGCAACCATCTATTTGGAGAACACTGGATTGCTTAGATGCCACAAAGCTTCTTTAGAAGTTCGTTCAAGTTCCATGTGCCTTATGCACAAATGATCACTGTTTAA